AGGGTCCCTTCTCTGTGCCAAGAAAACTGATTTACAGTTTGTGACTGAGCAGAATTGAAAGTTTCATTTCAGATAGTGTGATGGAGGGTTAAAAAAGGGGGGGGGATATTTTTGCACATACTAAGGGCTTCTACCATCTTTGACATTAACACTGTGTTCTGAAATAATATTTAGCATTGAACCTTAATTAAAATAATTGTGTTCCAAAATAATATTCCAGCATTGAATCTTAGTTAAAATTCTGCCCTGCATGTGATTCAGAGATACTTAGTTTGCCCCCCTCCTTGTGCAATATTCACCCACCCCTCCACACGCATTTTTCCTGGCTAGGCTATCATGTTTCACCAAAGCTGAGGGTGAGGGAGCCTGCATTCAGATAAAGGCTTGTCCTTGTTTGCAGAAGAGGAAGGGCAGCCCATCAGGCAGGGCACACCAGCATATCTGATTGCCCAGCGCTGTCTGCTTTTCCTTCAGTGCCCAGACTTACAGGAAGAGTTGGGGACGGAAGGTGGGGGTAAGCCCTTGCTGGCATCTGAAGAGCTCCTATTTCACTCACCCTGACGTTGGAGATCTACAAGTTAGTATGTGCAGCAAGGGCACCGCCTTCCTGTGCTCAGATGAGAGCTCCCTTTCCTCCTCCCCGTCCTTGCTTTACTTTTTTTCCCCTTCTCATTTAACTATCGGCCTTTTTCTGTGCTTGCTCCAATGCCACCCAACCCCCAGCTGCTTGAAACTCCCAGCACTGAGTGTTTAAAAAAAAGAGACTGAAAGAGAGAGAGAGAGAGAGAGAGACTTCTTGTTGGTGAACTTTGGGCAGTGAGATGAACTTGGCAGCCCCAGTGCGATTTGCAAATCCAGGCATTCCCAGGGCAATTTCTGCTGCAAAGGAGTGTGAAGCTGCAAAGGAGTGTGAAGGTAGGGGTGGCCTTTTATTTAGACACACGAAGCATGGCAGCACCCCTTCCTCCACTCAGATTTTCTAACTAATGACAATATGTGTTGTGGGGGGAGGGAGAGAAGTTTAGCATAAAGCAGGCAGATACGGAAACAAGTTTTTATGGGTACCTGGGTGTCTGCAATGTATACTGAAGGAAAGTGAAAGTTCTCAAGGAAGGGTAAACAGGTACTTGAGAGCCAAAAGGGAAAACGTGAAGTGGGGAATACTGCTGTGTATATCAGAATGGCTGAGTGAATTTTTCAGTTTTATTCTAAGATACTGCCACTAACATTCAAAGCGACAAGTCCATGAGTATTTTTGTACCTACAGAGAAGAAATCCATACTTTAAGCATGTCTGTACGTGATTCTTAGTTTACATGCCTTCACCTTTCATGCTCTATTTGGCATTTAAGGAGGATTTATAATAATAATAATGTATATAATAATGATATACAGCAATGATATTCTTAATGTTACCCTGCCCCCATTTCCTCTGCCTCTGATAGGACATATGAAGCTAGTTCATATGTTATATATATATATATATGTATATATATATATATGTATATATATGTATATATATATATGTATATATATGTATATATATATATGTGTGTGTGTGTATATATATATATATATATATATATATATAGAGAGAGAGAGAGAGAGAGAGAGAGAGAGAGAGAGAGAGAGAGATATATATATATATATATATATAATATATATAGATATATATAGAGAGAGAGAGAGAGAGAGAGAGAGAGAGAGAGAGAGAGGCATATCTATGATAGCAATAGCACTTAGACTTATATATCGCTTTATAGCCCTCTCTAAGCGGTTTACAGAGTCAGCATATTGCCCCCAATGATTTGGGTCCTCAATTTGGGATAAATGATCTATATTAAGCTAGGAGATTAAAACTGCATCTGTTTAAAAGGACATTAGGACCAATATTGACATGTACCTTTTAAAGCTAAGCTGAAAACTCCAAAGTAGCAAAAAAACAATGAAGCCAGGATATTTTATGTTAATATGAATTATAAATGAAGAACAATAACTTAAAAATGGCTGGTAATCTTTTGTTGATATAAACAAATCGAATTTGATGTTGCAGGTTTATGAATATTTACTGGGACCAATATCTACTGAATGTGGTAACAATCCAGTGCATAGATTTGAACTATGTATGGTTATCTGGAAATACTGGGAACCAGATATGTGACTATATTGTTTATAAAATTGTTTTTCCTCGTCTAAATTTTTCTTGAATTCAAAAACCTGTGGAACCACAGCACCTCCTTGGTGCCTGCCAGGCTTTTGCCTTGCTTGCTGTTGATCATTTGTTCCTTTTATCTCCTTTTTGATTCTGCAAAGGAAATGCCAACCTCCAACATACATTTATTTCCTGCATATCTCTACTCATCACATATACACATAGGCATTATTAAAAAATAAAAACAGTAAGAGCTACAATCTATGCTTTGTTTTGAAATCTGTCTGTGTGCCTAAAGTTAAAGTAGAAGCCAAAATAAGCTTCTCAGATAACAGGAACCATCATGGGAGGTTAGAGGAAGGCACTCAACAGGCTACCATTTTGTGGGGGGACCACAACTTGTTCTCAAAATATCAGCTCTCATCTCTAATGCAAAAGTCATTACCTCATGGGTAAGTTTTCAGAAGTAGGTCCAGGTGGAACAGACTAAGAGGTGGCATAGGTCACTATTGTCAAAGCCTCTTCCTCCAGAAAAGAGCACAACTGGCACAAACCTTCCATCAAACTGTCCAGCAGTAACCGTAAGTCTAATGCAACCTCCAAAGCATGGACTTGCTTCTTCAATGGCAGTGTGATTCCATCAAAAGACACTAGAGCAGCAGAGAAAGAACCAGCTGGTTTCTGGATAAAGAGTAACTCGGCTTTGCTAGGACTGAACCTGAGCATTTTTTTTTCCCCTGTCCAAGAGTTTACAGCCCCTAAATATTGGATCAGGACTTCCACCCACAACATTGTTTTGTCCCAATGTGGAGATAAATATCATCTCAAACTAACAATGACTGCTTCCACAGCTTCATTTAAATGTTAAATAGAAGAGAAGATAGAGAAGAACGCTGTAGCACCTTCCAGTGGAGTAGCCTTTAGACCAGCCAAACTCTTATCCTCCTCCATCATCCACTCAGGAAAAGAGCAGAAAACAGGGGCTGAACTTCCTACCCTGCAGGCAGCCCAGAAGAATAACATGACTGATGATCATGTTAAATGCTCCTGGGGAATCCAAGAGGATCAAGAAGGATGTTTTCGTCCAACCAGATCACTTTCAGGTCATCTACCAGTGCAAGAATGTAGTTTCATAACTCTACAGTGACTAAATAATAAACTCTTAGGCACAGAGTTTCAACATAACCTGCTATCTGTTCTTTCTTAATGCGCAGCCTAAGCTCTACTACTGAGCATTTTCCAAAAATAAAAATTAGCAATGAATCATCAAGGAATTGACGTATTATAGAAATTGAAATTCACAGCAGCAAATCCTTGTTTTAACCAGGGCACAGTTAGAAGGAAAACTGAAAGTCTTGCACATGGGAAAAGAAGAAAAATAAAATAAAAAATAATTGCTGATCCCCAAAGGCAGATTGGCTGCCTCACAAATGTAATTTGTCCAAACCTTATTTGGAAGTATCCTAAAGTCTTACAAGAAGAATTAGCCCTTTCACACAGACTGGCGTGGACAAGCATCTTTACCAAGTACTTTAACCAATTAATTTGCTGGATCCTCAACAGATTTAAGAGTATTGTCTGATTTTTGCAAATTGCATTGCCCAAAGGAAATTTTTGGTATAATTTTATTAAGGCTAAAAAAAAGTCACATCTGTAATCCCTCAGGTGGCAAAGGGATGTGAGCAGTGGTCTCTTGCTTGTCTTTTTTGAACCTAACATGGGTTTGGGTTTTCTGACAGTAAGGCAAACTGGAATGGGGGCATGTTTTTTCTTTTCTTTTGGCAAATTTTCTTTTGGCAAATGCTGTAGAGCAGGGGTAGCAAACTTGATTTCATTGAGGGCCACATCAGGGTTGTGTTTGACCTTGGGGGTCGGGGTGGGCATAGCCAACTTAGATAGATAGATAGATAGATAGATAGATAGATAGATAGATAGAATAGATAGATAGATAGATAGATAGATAGATAGATATGTGTGTGTATATATATATATATATATATATATAAGTTTTTAATTTTTATTTTTAAACAATTCATCATTAATCAATCAGTGTAACCTCTGGGTACACAAATTTTTGTGTCGTCATATTCAACATTTATCATCATTTTCTTAGTACATATTTATCTTTCTTCTTACATTTAAATTTAATGTATTACAACATATTTTTCCCATGTTTCTTATTTTTACATTGTCTATTGTCTATATTCAGTCTCTATCCATTGATAAAATTGCCCCCATATGTTGTAATACTCCGATTCTTCCTTCCTTCAACTTGACGTCACTCATGTCAGGGGTGTCTGTGGTGGCCCAAGCGCTCTGCCAGGGCTCCCAAGTGCTCTGAAAATGGGCTCCCGAGCTCCATTTTCATCTGCGACAGCCTCCTGCCGCCCTCTGCTAGCAAAAATGGAGAGCTCCATTTTTGCTGGCAGGGGGTGGCAGGAGGCTGTCACAGCTGAAAACGGATCCTGGGAAGGCTGCACGCCACTCTCCTGAGCTCTGTTTTCGCTGGCAGAGGGTGGCAGCAGGCTGTTGCAGCTGAAAACGGAGCATGGGAGGGCTGCATGCCACCCTCCCAAGCTCCTTTTTCACTGGCAGAGGCACTGTGAGCTAGTCCTTTGATGTTTCTAGGGTGGCCCTGCAGGCCAGATTTAAGCACACCATGGGCCAGATCTGGCCCCCCGGGCATTGAGTTTCACACCCCTGCTCTAGAATGAAGACAAGGCTGTAATGGATGGCAAAGGAGAAAAACTATACCCTTCTGCCTGTATCAGTTTTCCCTTACCTGTACTTTTTCACCTGTTGCTAGAAAAGGCAAAAACTTTATCTGTATTTTTGATCTTCTTTTACAGAGTCGAAAAGACAAAGAAAGGCCTAAACAGAAGCACAAGAAGCATTCAGAAATTGAACCCACAAATCTCACACTGTCTTCCACACCTATAGTCACTGAGAAGGTAACAAGAAATACATGTAAGATATTTATAACAGAGTTCTGAGGGGTTTTTTTTACAGTCAAAGGCAGTCTGTGTCTACTCCAGACTTTGCCCAAGTATCTTCATGCAGTAGTTGATGTTGGATGTGCATTCAGTTTTCCCCAAAACACAGGGTTTTTTGTTTTGTCTAAAATGGACTGTTTTTCATAGCAATAGCAATAGCACTTAGACTTATGTACCACTTCACAGTGCTTTTACAACCCTCTCTAAGCGGTTTACAGAGTCAGCATATTGCCCCCAACAATCTGGGTCCTCATTTTACTGACCTCGGAAGGATGGAAGGATGAGTCAACCTTGAGCGGTGGGAGTTGAACTGTCAATCAGCAGTCAGCAGAAATAGCCTGCAGTACTGCATTCTAACCACTGTACCACCATGACAGTGGTGGATTCAAATTTTTATTACTACCAATTCTGTGGGTGTGGCTTGGTGAGCGTGGCTTTGCTTGGTGGGCATGGCAGAGGAAGGATACTGTAAAATCTCCATTCCCATCCCACTTCAGGGGAAGGAAACTGTAAAATCTTCATTCCCACCCCCCTCCAGGAAAGGGTTACTGCAAAATCCCCATTTCCTCCCAATTAGCTGGGACTCGGGAGGCAGAGAATAGATGGGGGCGGGGCAGTCAGAGGTGCTATTTACCAGTTCTCCGAACTACTCAAAATTTCCTGTACCAGTTCTTCAGAACTGGTCAGAACCTGCTGAATACCACCTCTGTACCACGGCTTCATAGCTCCAAAGATGAATTTATAAATGATGAAATTTGGAAATGAGCACTAATCATTCACGTCATTATACTGTAGGGTTCCCCATAGCTATTAAAAATATAGTGCAGCAAGCAAACACATGTTGATTTTGTAAAATTCTGATTTTCCACACTGGAGAATTCACTTGTTTAAATTTAAATGCAGAATGAGAATTTTATATACAGCCTTTTTGAGAGTTCTTTTAAGAATAGAAGAAAGATAAGAGAGAGGAAAGGGGAAAAAATAAGAAAAGAAAATCATAACTCCACATCAATTTGTTTCTGCTTCTAATTGTTTACATTTTCCCTACCCTCCACTTCCTCACTGCCTGGCAAACTCCAAGTCACAAGAATCCCATTTTGCAGCTGTTGGCTGCTAATGATACAAACACTAAGCTGAGCCCTCCAGTGATTTTAGAAGCATGTCCTAACTCGTTCTTGAAGCACATGTGCCAGTTCAAGCCTCCTGTAGCATTAATAACTTAATGGCAAAGCTTTACTTTCTCTTTGTCTTTTTCTGTCTACTATTAAACCAGGAGGGAAATGCAGTCTCTGTTTGCTAGGATTGAACCCAGATTACGTCTCAATATCAGCCTTGGCCATTACCAGGCAAAACAAGGACATACAAAACCTTTAGAAGAAATTTCATTTCTACATCTTCTTTTTCAAGAAAGGATTGGCAAGAAATGTTTATGTGTAAAAACTCATCTTTCAGTCTGTTTCTTTGTCCTGCCACTCTGGTATTTAATCTGATTCGAGACAGCTAGATGCTTGCACACAGACATTTTTGCCCTAAAGCATAATGTGGAAGTAATGCATTTTGGGGGATATTTAGGCTGGAAATAGGTAATAGTTTGAAAAGAATGCAGTAGAAGGTGGTTCTGAGAAGTGTTGCTTTCCATTATCAGTGGAGTCTCTTTTGTCCTATTGTCAGCTCAGGCCAAATGGCAGGGTTTGGAAGTTACGCAAACCTCGCACAACTTAGTTACAGGAGTTGTATATGCTACAAGCAACAATCGTTCTCAAACTACCTACCTGTTTCTTGAGTCTTAAGCTTGCAAACTCATTTTGACTTGAAAACAGCAGCATCTTGCCATAATAGGCATTGAAATGACAAGATGTATGTAAAAACATCACCCAAAATGCCATAATTCTGTACCTGTGTCCATCATCTGATACAGATTAAGTACAGATAGTCCTCATCTTACAACCATAATTGGGCCCAAAATTTCCCTGGCTAAGTAAGACAGTTGTTAAGTGGGTTTTGTCCCATTTGATGACCTTTCTTGCCACAGTTGTTTAGTGAATCACTGCAGTTGTTAAATTAGTAATAGGGTTGTTAAGTGAATCTGATTTCCCCATTGAATTTGCTTGTCAAAGGGTCACAAAAGGGGATCACATGTTCTTGGGACACTACAGCCATCATAAATACATGCCAAGCATCTGAATTTTGATCCCATGATTAAGGATGCTGCTATGGTTGTAACTGTGAAAAATTGTCATCTCTTTTTTCAGTGCCGTTATAACTTTGAATGGTCACTAAACAAATGGTTCTAAGTTAAGGACTACCTGTAAGAATCCCTAGTTTGCTCTCTTCAACAGACACTCTTGCTTGGAAATGCTTATTTGGTTCTGGGCTGGGCAGTATCATAAGCAGAACACTTTTAGAAGTTCTAAGCAGTTGATTGTTTCAATGCATGCCTACTTTACAACAAGATTTCTCCTATTAATTTAAATTAAATGCACACAGTTTGAGAAGAGAAGGTGCTCTAGAGCAGTGGTTCTCAACCTTGGTCTGCAGACCACTTGGAATATGTGATGTAGTCACAGGTTGTTCACAAAGGCTTGAAGAAATGTTATGATTTGAATCTTGAGTTAGATCTTGGGGGCCCATGGCCACAAAAGGAATTTTAAAGGGGGTCCATGTAAAGAAAAGGTTGAGAATCACTGCTCTAGAGCAAATATGCCCTAACCAAAGCATACCTTTAAAAATTAATAGCAAATCTAATACACTGGTACCAAACTTCAGGTCTTATACTGATATACTTAAGCCATTTTAGATGATACTATAGATACACTGCTCAAAAAAATAAAGGGAACACAAGCAGAAGACATCCGAGATCTGAATGAATGAAATAGCCTTATTAAATACTTCGTTCGTTACATACAGTAGTTTTGTGTTCCCTTTAGTTGTTTGAGCAGTGTATAAACTACTTTATGTAAAGAACAAAGTACTTAATAAGGCTATTTCATTCATTCAGATCTCAGATGTCTTCTGCTTGTGTTCCCTTTATTTTTTTGAGCAGTATATTACATTGCTTACTTCAAAAGATGGTGAGCAGTCCTTCCTACATCCAGGGCTTCTGATATTTTATTCCCAAATTCTGCTACAAGAAATCTGAATAACATTCACTGGCGCCCTGAGGTATGAACTTGATTTTTCAATCAGATAAAAAGCAAGATATTTTTTGCCCTACAGCAAAGGGTTATTTTTAAATTCCTTGCAACACAAATTTATAATGGATCTTTAAAAAGGAGCGCTGAGGCTTCCAAATGAAAAGTTAGGATATTTGCCAAATAAGACAATAAAATCATTCAGAAACGAGAGAACATAATCTATGAAACTGGCAAACTGTTTTCTCCTTTCATTTGAATATCATCTTCCTAGATGACTGCACAAGACAAAACCTCCTGCAGACTTGTACTTTTTCCTTGGTTTTAGTTCCAAATAGATCTGCTAATAGATGTTTTCTTTCTTTTTTTAATTGATGGTGGACATACTTGGAATTGAAGAGATGAATTTATAAAATGGCTGCTATGCAAACCCAGTCATAAAATAAAACATGGGATGGAGCATGGAGTCTGTAAAATGTACAAGGAAAGATTTAGCTGAATTAATAATGCCAATCTGTCGCTTGGTCTAAACCTCCAGATTTTGCTGCTGTCCCTCAGCTGAAGCAGCCCGTTGTTGAGAAAAGCTATTAAGCCAGCATTTCTCCATTGTAGTAACCTCCAGATGTATTGTACTACATTTCTTATCCCTGCTAGAATGTTGTCAATCCTTTGAGGTAGGACAGACTAGGAAACTGACTCTACAGGTTTGATTGGAACTATATTTGTAGGCTATACTAACAGTACCTTGAAAACCTGCCAATGTTTTCCCTGCCCTCCCTCTTATATCCCATGAATTATGGCAGAACCAGTCTGAGTTTTTTCTGAATATCATTTGCTTGTTTGTTTATAAAGCATATTTGTGTACCTTTTGTCGTAACTGTCTCACTTTGCTTCTGGCTCTCTGTGTATGGGGTAGACAGAACTCTTGTTCTATCCACTTGGGTAGTGTTGATTCACACATTCACATTAGATTTTTCTTCCCGGATTTTCTGATGGCTTCCCACACCATTTCGGAAATGTGTTACTTCCCAAACCAGATGGATCCGGCTAGCCCATTGTTCTAGAACAGGGGTATCAAACTTGATTTCATTGAGGGCCACATCAAGATTGTGTTTGACCATGGGGGCTGGGGTAGGCGTGGTCAGGGTGGGCATGGCCAACTGGTATGAGGGGCACCTGTGGTGGCCTGAGCGATGTCCCAGCGAAAACAGGCTCCCAAGGTTCGTTTCGGCTGCAACAGCCTCCTGCAACCCTCTGCCAACAAAAACAAAACTTGGGAGTGCTGCCGGCAGCCCTCGCGAGCTCCATTTTCACTGGCAGAGGCACTACATGCTGGTCCTTCGCTGTTTCCAGGATGGCCCCATGGGCCAGATCTAAGCACTCTGTGGGCCAGATCTGGGCCCCGGGTCTTGAGTTTGACACCCCTGTTCTAGAAGATGTGGACTGATTAACTAACAGAAGGAATTCCTCAATTTTTGAGTGTATGGCTGATTTAGGTGGTAGTTTTAATCTAGGACTGGCTCTGTGGCATCTTCCTTTTAGCCAATCCTACCAGGGAGGTTAATTCATGCAGCCCATAATTTCTTGCCCTTCCTCTCTACTCTCTGCTGCCTTTCTGTGAACTTTCTTCCAACCAGTGAGCTAGCAGTTCTTTGGAAAGTTAACATAGCCTTCTTTGTTGTCATATAAACAGCAATTAATAGGCAAATGAGCACATATAGGTTGAACTTAATCAATAGCCATTTTGTTCCCTTAGCCTATTGATTTATTAGATATCTTACAATGAGGGTTATGTACACTGACCATATTTTCATGGAAAAAACAAAGAACAAACCTGAAAAAAAGTCTGCAAGTTGTTCATAAGCCTAAACATTTTAATTGTTCATATTTATGATTTTGCTTTACAAAGGAACATGGAAGAGAAAAACTACAAAAACTTAATATAAATATCTAAAATTAAATAATATATGTAGTTTTATTTTAAAAAGGCAATCAATTTCCATATTTTTAAAAGGAATGTGCATTAAATGGTATCATTTGATAAATGATAAATTTGATATAAAATAAATAAAATAAAAATCATTTGTATAGCTAAAGTTAAATGATCAAAATAAAGAACAAAGGTGAGTTTTGAAAAAATAAATCTAAAGGACAGTGTTGTAAAATGAAGGACTGTCCTTTGTAATAAAGGACTTGTGATCACCTGTGGTTTATGGGCTCACTTACCAGGGTCAGCAGCAAAATTTCTGCTGGAAGATATATGCTAACATTTTCTGCAGAATTTGTTTTGTGGTTCTTGAAGCCTCATCTCTGTTTGTATAGAATCTACACACACACAAACTGGAATGTCGTCAGTGGAGCCTACTCACTCTCACTTATTATATACATAAACTATTTTACCCCAGGAATCCTGCTGCTATTCTTGTTTGAATAATTCCTGGGAAACTGCCATCTGCCTTAGTTAAACCAGTTTAAATTAATTGGATTTAACCCAATCAGATTTTTGCCGGTTGGTTTAATTTAATTCTGTTGCCAGAGTGTTTGCCCAAAAGAAGCCTAGTCATTTATTTTATTTTTAATTTCCAGCTTGAAAAAATATTTGATGGGCATGAATTAAAACTGTATTTTTATAAAGATTTAGTGGCTAGCTACAACAATGGGCAATAGATTGACATCTATAGTAACGCCACTACATTTTTTATGGATTAGGTTTAGTAACAGTTCCTATCTTAAAGTAATACAAATTGTAAATAATCTGGAAATAAAATTTTCACATATTTTATTTACCATGACTGCTGGCACAAAGACTATTGCAGGCAAATGATTATCTAACAGAAAAGAATATATATAGCTCAGGGATGAACTGTGGAATCCTTGGTGCTCTCTAAACCTGGTTGCTTCCTTGCAGACATTATCTTGAATGGGTCTGCAAGCAAACAACAGAATTGTTTGCTTGCAGAACCCCAAGGACTTCACAATTGATCAAACATCATACAGTAGATATTAAAATAGAAGGTGACTGCCTAGTACCCATCGTACATTATAAACAGCCTGCTTAGGCAGTGGGCAGAGTTTTTAAGAATTATAAATTTTTAAGAACATCTGGAGAATATCTGGTTGCCCATGACAGCTTTAAATTTGGGCAACTGGGGTTCTGGGGTTCTATTTGATCCCCAGAGATTTCTCAACTGGTTCACAACACAATTAATTTAAATTACTATTCATTGTGAACCACAGCTGCACTTTACCAAGATGCTTTAACCTCTCCTCCCATCACCAGCACTAATAAGTAGCAAAGAAAACATTGCTAAGTCAAAGTGCTGGCAAATGAGCACAAAGAGCTGCCCTCCGCTCCTAATCTTACACTCTTCCAATTAGACTTCCTGAGTTCAACAGCTTAAGACAGCTGTTCTCCAATAGCATCACCGATCCTGACATTCCTACTGCAAATCTTCAACCTTCAGTTGCCAAATTTGTGATAAAAAGGCAAAACATCAACATTGCTCATACTGGAGATGCGAGAGTTGATGAATTGTTTGGTCTGGATCTGTATTAGTATGGCAAAGTGCCTGTGATCTGAAGCACTGTAAAATATTTCTTGCTCAGAATTACTCAGGGGACTATATTTACATACAGCCTAATTACAAACTGCATAGCAAGTTGGGTATATGTGCATTTGTGCATATGCATATTTTTTTCACGCATTTTATTCTGAAAATATATTTTTTTTTAAGTTTGGGGTGAGATTCAATATTTTTACAGATGAGTATTTATTGCTTATACTGCCAAATTTCATAGTATTCTTATTAAAGGAAAAAGTAACATACAGTTATGTAACAGCTATAAATACTAACCTACTGTACTTACTATGAGTTGAAATGATACAGCTAGAACAGGAGTCTGATTAAATTTGAGCAAAAATTTCTCTCTCTCTCTCTCTCTCTCTCTCTCTCACACACACACACACACACACACACACACACATACACACACACACACACACACACACACAAACATCACACACAAACCAAACTTAAATACTCAGAATATGAATTTTAAAAGGATATATTTGATGTGAAGATGGTGACCAGAAGCAATTATAAATAATTCGAAGTAATCACCAGCTGGATACATAAGTGGGAATTTATAACTTAATGTTTTTAGTGATTTTTTCCCCTTTTCATAAAGTCATGTACATTTATTTTAGATAATGAGAGTGATTGTATCAATATAACTGTTACTGGTTAAAGTTTTGTAATGATTTATAATTATTTCTGAAAATGCTACAATGATTTTAGTTTAATATCATTGATTGGCTTTTAATAGTTGAAATAATGAATTCTAAATTTTATGACAATGGTAAATTCGTAGTTTATTTACTGATATTATATTTTCCACCCATTAGGTATCTTCTTTTCTTTTTTCCTTTTATGTAGTTGTTTATTTTATTCTTTAAATATTTTGAAATAAATACATTAAAAAGGCCAGGGAGAAATGGCAATTTCTGTAGGTTAGTAGACATATGGTGAATGCAGACAGAAGGTGTAGTAAAAAAGGTTTTCACATTTACACCAAAAGGCCAGCCAATATCAGGAATTATTGTGTAGAGTACCAATGTCATCCAATCAAAAGAATAGAGTGGATGTGACCCACAGTAAACTTCACGAATTGGCACAGTGAGACATAAATGCCCAGCATCTCCTGAAGAGGAACAATACTTCCTGGACTGCACTGTGAGACACTCCCTTTCCCTATTAACCAATCTGATTGTAACAAATCTCAGTAGCTTAATTCAAGATAGTATTTCCTTTTGAAACTTTTTCCTGAGATGCAAAATGTCCAAGTCTAGTATAAACTAACTGGACATTTTACAAACTTTGATCATAAAGGCATGTCAATGGTTTGTTTATACATAGGTAGGTAAGTAGGTAGGTAGGTAAAATAAAGATTTTTAGAACAAAAGATTAAAACTAATACAAACTAATAGATATAAAGCAAGAAAAAGAAAAAAAGAAGTTAAAGAGAAAGCTAAAAGGGCAAGAAAGGAAAAATGGAAATAGAAAAGAAAAAAAGATACAAATAAGTAGCTTCTGATATTCTTTATGGCAGTTATAAGTACAATTATAAATTTAGCTCTTACTCTGTGGTTACAACATAACTCTCTTCTTTCTATAATATATCTTGTCTAACCATCAAAACCATAAGTCAGTCAGTGGTTGTTCTTTGATGATGCTTCATGTCTGTATTGTTTGATCTTTTAAGAATAAGTGGAGGCACGGAAAATGAACTGATGGGAAAATCCACCCTTTCATGTAGTTTCCTAGTATCTGGCTAGTTGAGCTAGCCAATCTCTAAGCAAAGAAGTAATAAGAACTACAATAATTAGTTGTTGATTAAATGTACGGGGTAGATCAAAATTACCTTTGTGATGGCACATATGCTTGTGAGATTTGTATCCCTGCTTCTGCCAGAGGGACACATGCTGATGGGAGCTACTTCATTCATCCCTTGTCCTAATCTTTTGCAAGTGACTGGAAGTGGGAAAGAAAGTAATAAGAGAGAGAGAGAGATTTGTTTATTTCATTTATATCCTTCTACAATTTCATTTATATGATTCTACAATCAAAACAGACTCTGACAATACTTATAGTTTTCACTTTCATATATGCATTACCACTTTGTAAAATGAGAATTTGTCTGAGCCACCTGAAATTATTAGTTCTGGATACTGAAAACAATAGGTCCTCTCCTTTCAGAGCTGAAGATAATTTGAAAGTAGGATCTCTGTTCACTTTTATTTCCTAGAATGGATGAAAATAAGTTTTACAAAATATTGCATTGTACTTTGCAGAAAAAGCAATGAAATAAGAAATATGCCTCAGATATTTAATGAACTACAAGTTAGCAATACATAGTCAGGCTTAGCATTACCTGCTCAGATCAGCCTCTTCTAAGAAGTACTGCCTATCTTCAGAATAGGGAGCAAAGAAAAAGAGAAACAAAATTTTGGCTAGAAGTCAAATCATTTTAATTTGTAAAATGACTTTGAAAATATAGGATTTAAGAATTAGAGTGGTACACAGATCTGACTATAGCAATATTCAGAAAGAGAAGATGACCAAATCTTACAAATTCAGGAAGCAACCAAAAAAGTGAAATGCTAGAACAGGGGTGTCAAACTCAAGGCCTGGGGGCTAGATCCGGCCTGCAGCTTGCTTAGATCTGGCCTGCGGGGCCGCCTTGGAAACAGTGAAGGACCACATTGCCTCTGCCAGCAAAAATGGAGCTGGCAGAGGTTTGCAGGAGGCTTTCAAAGCTGAAAATGGACCTCGCAAGGGCCACATATGGCTCTCCTGAGCTCTGTTTTCGTTGTCAGGTTGCAGAAGGCAGTCGCAGCCAAAAATGGAGCTCAGGAGCCTGTTTTCACTGGCAGAGTGCTCCCACACGCGCCCTCGACACGAGTGATGTCGATCTGGCCACACTCACCCTGGCCACGCCTACCCTAGCCCCCCTCCGAGGTAAAACACAACCCTGCTGCAGCCCTCATTGAAATGATGTTTGACACCCCTGAGCTAGAATATCGAAAGATAATGAACCAAAAAGAATGTGAATACCTAAGGGCCAAAAAGCAGAAAATAATTGAATACATTAAAGGACAGAAAGTGTTAGTCTCTGCAAAATAGAAACAAAGTGAGAGTATTTCTATGCTATGATCGGTTATATTTTGGGTACTTACATAATAATATTCATTGATTATTAGTACTTTTCAGCCTTTCTAGAAATGGTTTCTCTCAGAAAGTGAAATAAGCACTATTGGTGCTGTTTCTCTTCCTCCATTCTCCATAATTCAGTTACTCTTTACTATAGTATCCATTATTTAATCTTATGGAGTAGAGTGAGATTCCTCATGTTTCACCATGACTCTAGCTTTAGGAATCTCATCAGAGGTTAAAATTTGCCATTAAGAAAATTATGCCTTACCATAAGACAACCTGTTAAGGGGCCCAGAGTTAAAACTGCAAACAGCAGGATATCTCTCTAGGTCAGGACAAAGGTGAGGCCACAGAGAGGCCTACTGCAAAAAAAAACAGAGGCAGGGGGCTTGAAACAAGTCAGGATTACATTATATTAGTGCAATTATTTCTGGAATCAATCACATTTTCCAATTAAATGCATTCAAGTTTTTTCTAACCATGTAAAACAATATATCTTTAGTCCTAAGATTCTGGAAAGCAACTATGATTTCAAAGAAATACTCATATCCCCACATACAGTCACATTCATAACAGATTGTTCTTTATTATCAATTGTACTGTACATGATTCTGGATGTGGGTAGTGAGGTAGGGAAGTTAGGTGAGGCTGATAATAAGATATATATTCTTGTGACTGAGACTAGCTAAAACGTGGATTGGTTGGTACTATATATGGGTAGTCCCTGATTTCCAATCATTTGTTTAATGGTTATGAGCTATGAAAAAATTACTAACAACTGGTCCTCATATGTACGGCCATCCCGGTGTTCCAGAATGTGATCAAAATTCAGGCATTTGGCAACCAGCATGTATTTAAATGACCAACAAGCAAAGCTAATAAGGGAAGTTAAATCCATTGAATGTATGTAATGACCGGGAGAACATCATAAAACCAGGCCAATTTTACTTCTCCCAGTCCAAAATCCTAAAGTCACTGCTGATAGCAATCTTTGGTCATCAAATACTAGCTGCCAGGCAAATATAGGAATTTTACAAATTATCCTCAGTCAGTATGAACTATAGATCTCCCTAAAATCAAATTACTTACTCACTAACTGACCTCATGTAGGGCATACTATATCATTAATGCAATGACTGAGGTGAAATGGGCAATCCGTCTGAATCCCTCTGATTCAGAACAACCTAGATATATAGAATTGCTCTTATTTGGTTGCATTCCTGAAAGCTAATTTCACAGGTCTGGTCTATTATGAAATCTATTGTCTTTGAATAAAGTTAGCATTTGGTATGAGAATATACTGCTGAGCTTCAACTGTTAGCTTGAAGTGTGGTCTGGAATGGAAGAGGTTTAAATGATCAGTTCAAGAGGGATTGTCAAATGAAATTCAGAATAAATTATTTGTGAAGACATTCCAAAGATTATTATAGTATTAATTCATGTGTGCTTGGGCATCAATGGACAATTTTAAGTGTTGTGGCACAATCTGAATGAAAGGGTATGCATCATTATTTTCTCTTTCCTTTCTCTTCCCCACCTTCCTTCTTTGCCCATCTGAAAATCCATCTTCTCATTCAGATGCACATGTCTATACTGTGGAAATCACTTTGTATATGAATGTTTTACTAAGACCTTTCCTTTTCAATGCATAAAAGAGTGTTATACTGATTTTTGAGGGAGATGGGCATTTTGCAAGCAGGTATCTTAAACATTCGAATCTGACTTGAATTAATGCAATTCCAGCCCTCCAGACTCAGAGACAAACACAACCCAAAATGAACCTAGATATATGAAGTTACAAATCATTTTGTGACGAGACAGGACAGGACAGGACAGGACAGGACAGGAAGGATAAGATATGCTAGTTTTTTTGGATGCCGAAAAAGCTTTTGATAGATTGAATTGGCAATTTTTGTTAAAATTAATAGAAAGGATGCAACTTGGAGAACATTTTATACAATCTATTAAGGCAATATATCAAAAACAAACAGCGCAAATAATAATCAATGGTGGTTTAACAGATAATTTCAATATAGAAAAAGGAACAAGGCAAGGTTGTCCCTTGTCTCCGTTATTGTTTATTTTGATGCTGGAAATTTTATTAAGTAAAATACGTGGGACTGATATAATAAACGGAATTAGAATTAGACAGCATGAGTATAAGCTACGAGCATTTGCGGATGACCTGGTGGTTACCTTAGCCCAACCGGTATAATCAATTACAGCCTTGATGGATATAATCTGCTCATATGGACAAGTATCTGGTTTTAAAATAAATACAGCTAAAACAAAGATAATAGCTAAAAATATAGTCAGAAGCCAGAAAGAAGAGATAGAAAGGTTAACAGGATTTGAAATAGTTAAGAAGGTTAAATATTTAGGGGTTTATATTATGACTGCAAATATGAAATTATATCAGTATAATTATGAACCATTATGGCAAAAAATACAGAAAGAGATGGAAAACTGGAAAAAATTACAACTGTCTTTGCTGGGTAGGATAGCCGCTGTAAAAATGAATATTTTACCAAAATTTTTATTTCTTTTTCAAATGATACCTATACTTTAAAAAGATGAAAACTTGAAGGAATGGCAGAAGAGCATAAATAAGTTTGTGTGGGCAGGGAAGAAACCGCGAGTTAATCAAAAGATAATGCAAGACACCCGAGAAAGAGTTGGTCTTAAAATGCCTAACTTAAAATTGTATTATGAAGCCGCTGCCCTCTCAGCAATTACATATTGGATAAACTTAACGGAGGAAAAGATATTGAATATTGAAGGATATGGTCTGGTCTACAGCTGGCATGCTTATCTACTGTATGACAAGAAAGTAGATAAGACTTTTAAAAGTCATATATTAAGAAATGCTCTATTGCGTGTCTGGAAAAAGTATAAATATAAATTAAATGATAAGTTACCAATATGGACAGTACCCAGACATGCGATAGAGAATATAAATTTGGAGCAAAAGCAAGATAAGATTACATATAAGGAACTCCTTTATAAGGAAAGAGTCAGATTACAATTAAAATCTATGGAACAATTAAGAGAAGGAATTATTAGGACTTGGTTTCAGTATGGTCAGCTGCAGGCCAGATGGAGAGAAGATCAAAAAATTGGTATTTTGCAGCAGGATGAGAATTGGATAAAAATATGGTGGATTATTCAAAATATTTTAAGGAAAAAAATTAATTTACACCACAGCTTTTTTTGTTGGGAATAATTACGGATTGTACTGTAATAGAGACTAAGTTGGTTTTGAATTTAATAACAGCTGCCAGATTACTGGTGGCACAGTACTGGAAGAAGGAAGATCCACCCACCATTGAGGAATGGACACTAAAAGTTGTGCATTTGGCAGAGATGGCAAAAATTTCATCATACCTTAAAGACCATTCAAATGAAAGATACATATCGGAATGGAGAAGATGGATTGACTATATACAAAAAAAGTATCAGAACAAGAAGATTCATATAGCTTATGAATGACATGTTTTTAAGTAGTTCATGCTTATAGTTTTTTGAGTTATAAGGAGTTAAAGACTTAGGGAGAATATGAATGCAATAATTTGTTAGCATATTTTAGCTTTATGTTTGTGAATGCTATACCCTGTGCTTGTTCTGGGAAGTCTAGGGAGTGGGGTGAGGGGGAAGAAGGGGAAGGAGGGTGGGAGGTAGGGGCGTGGGAGGGGTTGAGGGGGAAAATGTTTGTATTTCCTATAAAACTTTTCAATAAAAAAAAAGGAGGGATTGTCAAATGAAATTCAGAATAAATTATTTGTGAAGACATTCCAAAGATTATTATAGTATTAATTCATGTGTGCTTGGGCATCAATGGACAATTTTAAGTGTTGTGGCACAATCTGAATGAAAGGGTATGCATCATTATTTTCTCTTTCCTTTCTCTTCCCCACCCTTCCTTCTTTGCCCATCTGAAAATCCATCTTCTCATTCAGATGCACATGTCTATACTGTGGAAATCACTTTGTATATGAGTGTTTTACTAAGACCTTTCCTTTTCAATGCATAAAAGAGTGTTATACTGATTTTTGAGGGAGGTGGGCATTTTGCAAGCAGATATCTTAAACACTCGAATCTGACTTGAATTAATGCAATTCCAGCCCTCCAGACTCAGAGACAAACACAACCCAAAATGAACCTAGATATATGAAGCTACAAATCATTTTGTGACGGGACAGGACAGGACAGGACAGGACAGGAAGGATAAGACATGTATCTTATCCTACATATCCACCCTGGTCCTGAATTACAACTACAGGTCATAATGGATTCTGGAATTGTAAACAACTTCATTATATCATCTATGACACACAAATGTTCCACCCATTCAGTCAGTCAACCCTCCGGTTGGGGTGAAATTATTGATGGCCAATTTTTATGCTCAGGGCTCAAAGGATGAAATTACTTCAATTTATCATCAGTAAACAGGACACCTTGAATTTTCTTGACTTCCCCTGTTGCATTTCCCAATTATCTTACACTGGTTGTAGATGCTCAATCTGCCTATAGATTGGGACTGAGATAACTTTGCCTTTAACTTCCTAGGATGTAAGACTCACAATTACAGGGCCTGAGATCCCACACTACTCATTGTTCAGCAAATGAGCCTACTTTGCCTGCTAAATATTCAGAGAGTATACTTCTATGTTTGGAAAATGAGATGCAAAGATGTCTATGGAGATTATCATGTAGATTCTATGTACCTTTGGGATGTAAAGATCTTTGTCACCCCTTGGTTTTATGACTATATGATCAATCTTATTCCTGAAGTCCAAATTCCCACATCTCTGCCCAGAAATGAAATGTAGAGCTGGTCAAAGGATACAAATTCATAAGGAAGCTTTAACTTGTCTTTTTTGTATAACATAATCCCCTATATTAAGAAGATTGCCCCTCCACCATTGTTGTTGTTAGTCGTGAAGTCGTATCTGACCCATTGTGACCCAATGGGCAACGTTCCTCCAGGGCTTCCTGTCCTCTGCCATCTCCCGGAGTCCATTTAAGCTCACACCAACTGCTTCAGTGACTCCATCCAGCCACCACGTTCTCTGTCGGCCCCTTCTTCTTTTGCCCTCTGATCTTTCCCAGCATTAGGCTCTTCTCCAGTGAGTCCTTCCTTCTCATTAGGTGGCCAAAGTATTTGAATTTCATCTTTAGGACCTGGCCTTCTAGAGAGCAGTCAGGGTTGATCTCCTCTATGACTGACTGGTTTGATTGCCTTGCAGTCCAAGGGACTCGCAGGAGTCTTCTCCAGCACCATAGTTTAAAGGCCTCAATTCTTTGGCGCTCA